CGGGTCGCTGATGTGCCAGATCTCGCCCACCTGGTGGAGAAGCACGTCTTGCTGATAATGTTATTCTCGTCGTCAAAGTCTATGATGTGGATCTGCAAACACAAGGAAGGGGCAGGTCAGAGTCGCGCCCTCTCCCCGGGCCTCCGTGGATCACGGGACGACCCAGAAGCCTCGGACGCACTTTCCAGCTCTCCAGTCAACTTCTGTTCTTCCTACACCGACAGGATACCTTCTCTAAGCTCATCTGACTCTTCCTCTCAAGAGACGGGTACGAAACCCTGTATAGCGTTAAGCTTGTAAGGTGTGGGGGGTGTGGCTCAGAAGCAGAGCGCGTGCCTAGCAGGCACGAGGTCCGGGTTCAGTCCCCAGCGCCTCTGTTAAAACATGAGTAAATAAACCTCATTACCTGCCCCAACCCCCCAAAAAAGACTTGAAAAAAGATTGCGACCACCCCCAGCCACATCCACTGCTGAAGAAATGACACACTGAAAACTCTGTCCCCGACTGGCTTGGCTGGGCCACGGCTGCGGCAGGGCCAGAGTTGGCCAGGACGGTGCAAAGCAGCCAAGGTTGCCCAGACCGGCTGCCGGGGGAGAACCGGGCTGCCTGATGAGGCCAGGCCTGGCCCCACCCCGCCCACCCTGTCCCCAGTGGACAGAACTCAAATCACATCCGGAGCAACCAAGGCGGGGAAGAGGTGAAGGGGCTGCACGTCAGCACATCTCAAACCTCGTCTCCAAAACGAGGCCAACAAGCATCAGCACTCACACAGCATCAATCATGGCGGCGAGACATTCGGCCTCCACGCGAAGAGTCACGGCGGGCTGCCCCCGCACTTCTCTGGGTAACTTCCAGAGGGACGAAAATGATGTTCACAACCTCTCATACATACCCAAGTCACCGGGAGACACACAGATTAAACGTTCAAAACCTAAATGTGTACTAAGAAAACCATATCGTGGATGTGCACAAAGATTTGTATCCAAGAAGGTTCACTGTGGCGCTGATTATCGTAATGCAAGTTAGAAGCCACCTGAGCGTCCGGCAACAGGAGACTGTTCAAACAGACCGTGGTGTCTGACTGTAATGTGGAACCGTGAAGCCATTCGGTGTCTCGCAAACACGGCCCGGTGCGCGGGAAGGGCCACCACAGACACTCCCAGGGCACCGGCCAGCAGGTGAGCTGCACGCCCTCGCGGGTTACAAGCGGGCCGGCCTGCCCGGGAGAGCCGGGGAGTGAGCTGGGCGGGGGCGGTTACAGCTGCTTTTTCTTTACTTCTCGGTGGCTTATCTTTATTTTTGACATGGTTTCATGATTAATATGCACAACTTTGCAATCAGAACAAACATTAATGCTACTTTGAGGCCGTTTCCATGACACCCGAGGAGGCTTCATTCTGTGGGTGCGAAGGTGGCTGTCGCGTCCTCCTGTGAGGGTCTTCATGTGAAAATAGCCCAGCCCCTGAGGGGTTGCTTCAGACTCAGCGTAGAATTCAAATCCCGCCACTGCCGCCTACAGGCCGTGTGGCCCTGAGCCTCAGTGTCCCGAGAGCTCCTGGGATCCCTGGGGCCGCGCGCATCCCGTGTGGTGCAGCCCCACCGCCAGCCCCCTCCCTTCTCTTGGGCAGAGTGGGGAGGTTAAAACCCTTACTATTGTTTTTATCCATAAAACTGTTTTCAGTCAGCTTCTCCCCACACTCAGGGCCCAATGCAATTTTCACAGTGGGTTTGGAAATGTTCCTGTCGGACAACTTCTAAATTATAAAAGTCACATATGAACAGAGACTAAAAGGCAACATACAAATCAGGAAAAAATTTTATGTTGTTGAGGGAACAGGAAATTTTTTTCTTAAGCATCTGGTATTTCCTACTTACCAGAAAACTCAGTGACACTTACAAAAGGATGCACTTAAATGTACCATTCGTCCTTTCCCCAAATCCCTCCCTCTGCGACGCCCGGCAGCACCAGGACCACCACACGGGGGAGCGCTCGAGCTCCGGCTCAGAAGTCCTCGGGGGCGGGCTCTGAGGACCAGGTGAGCCACGTCAGGGGGCGCCAGGTGAGGGCCCCGTCCCCCCCAGTCCTCCCTGCACACGGGCTCTGACTCCTGGCTGGAGGGCCAGCCTTTGGGCCTGACTTCTGACCTCCTCTCTGCCGCCCAGCACTCCTCCAGAGCCCTGCTCCCGCCCGGGGACGGGCTCTCACAGCCTCATCAGAAAGCCCTTCTTTGCCATGAAGACACGAAGCGCTGCTGTCCAACCCGGCTCTGGTACCTGCACCAAACAGGCCTCCCCCTGGGCTCACTTCTTACACTCTCGGGCACACTGACACCGGCCCCTACCCGGACGGCCGGGGCGGGGTTGGGGGGTGGGGTCAACATCCTGCCGAGGCCATCTCTCCTCATCTGACACTGATAACAGCCCTCAGCCTTCCTCGTTAAGCTTGAGAGCCCTGAGACTCTTCCACAGTCCTCAGCTACACAGGCTCACAGACAGGTCCAAGGACTACACCGCTGCGAGATGATTCAAGCTAGGCACGTTCAGAAAGCATGGCGAGACGTCGCCACCGCAAACAAGCAGAGATCAAAGGAATGACGGCTAACACGCAAAATGCGGCAGGCACCGAGCAACTCCACGCACGCGGCTTCCTCTCATCCTTAAAAGAGCCCCACGTAACACTTCATTATCAGCCACGATCACGGCGAAGAGACCGAGTTACAGAGTTGGAGGCCTGTTCGTTGGAAACAGGGTCCAGAGCACATGCTATGAACCCCACACCATCGGGGTGCACAGGGGGCCCCACGCCAGCCTGGGGGGCCCACTCCCTGCAAGGCCAGGCTCTGCGCTGCAGCCGGGCATCGGAAGATGGGACAGCTCCTGATTCCGAAAGAAGAGACTGTACTTAACTGTCTCCTCACAGGGCCCACGCTCCACCTGGCTCACACAAAGCACAAAGAAACGTCCTGCTGCATAAATGTATGCGGTTCCAGGCCAGCTCCTGAAACGAGTGACATAATGGAGAAAACACTGTGATCGCGGTGAGGGCAGGAGAGTGTTGGGGTGCGACAGACAGCGCAGCCCACGTCGGCTCGGGGGGCGGTAAGACGCGTGCTCATCTGGGCGGCGTGGAAAGGTCGCTTTCAACTCCTCACGCCATTGCTGAGTTCTGAAAATGCTTTTAACAGCTCATAATGAAGCTCAAACTCATATATTTTGAATTGCCATTATTAAAATTTTAAAGTTGGATTTACCAGTGCAGGGCTGAGGGCATAGATGACACGCTATAAAAACTTAGGAGCTGCAGTTATAAAACTTATTAGGAAGCCTGTAAAGATGAACTTGACCAAGCCTCCCCCATCCTGGAGAATCAGGGCTCAGAGGAAGCTGCCCAGGTGTGCCTGGACGGCAGGTGGGGACACCTGGCCGCAAGCCCCGCCGTCGGTCTCACGTCCCCAGTTGGCTCTGCTCCCGGCTCATGGCAGCAGTCCTGTGAAGCCCGTTTCCTCTGCCATGCGTCTGCCTCGGCAGGACGTGCTGAGTGGTGAGCGGAATCCGAGAGCTGGGTTCCAGGGAGGACTGGCCACCTCCCAGCTGTGTTGCCCCGGGCGGTCACTGACTCCTTCTGGGCTCTTGCTCCAGCGTTACCTCTGAAGGTGAACTGAGGGAACTGCGCTTCTAAGATCTCTTTGATCCAATGGAAACACACACTGATCCTCCAGCTAAAGCCAAAGTAACGAGAGTTATCAAATATGCTCCACATTTCCCAATGCTTACGATGCCCACAGCGTGACTGCCATTTACCCATCCCTATTAACACTCTTTCCCGGAGCAAATAAGCCCCAGTGTGCTAACAGTCCCATCTGTGACGCCCAAAGTAGGCTTGGAGTCCAGGAGAAAACGACCCCACGCTCCACAACCTCCCGGGGCCCAGCAAGGGCACGTCTCCGTCTGTAAGCAGGAAATCCAAGACCAGGGGGCCCACGTGGCCGGATTTTGGTAAGAACCCTCTTCCTGGACCACGGACGTGCATCTTCCCACTGTGGCCTCACATGGGGAGGTTAACGGGCTCTGCGGGTCCCTCATATGAGGCACTAACCCCATATGAGGTTCCACCCTCAGGGCCCCAGCACCTCCCAAAGGCCCCACCTTCTAGCACCATCACCTGGGGTTAGGTCCCAACACGCGAGTTTGGGGGGAACACAAGCGTTCACCCCACAGAGAGTGACAAGATGGTCAGGGGCTGGAGGAAGCTGGGACCTGGGTCACTGGGGCATAATCAGCAGGGGAGGCCAGACCCTCAGACAACATGGGGTGAGCGGTCCCTGAAGTGAGAGGGGAGGGAAGACAGGCGGAAGGGGCCCTGGACGCCCCAGGCCCGCAGGCACACACACCAGGGCTCCAGGCACAGCCAGGAAAGGCCCACAGACACCCCCATCCACCAGCCCAGTGTGTTCAGTCAGAAGCAAAGACGGACCCTCCGCAGCTCCCACGGCACAGTGCAAACCCATCCGGGCCTCCAGGGCTCCAGGGCAGCTTCGGGCACCTACCCCTCACGACCCCCATGGGCCACGCCACCAGGGGTCTGAGCCGATTCTCCCCAACACCTAGACCAACGACTCGGATGGAATTTACTGGATGCCCAGGCCAAGGGTTCTTGGATAACATAACTTCTTGGGTTTTTTCTTTTAATTCTTTTTTTTTTCTTTCATGGAGGTGCTGGGGATTGAACCCAGGACCCCGTGCATGCTTAGCACACGCTACCCGGGCTACGCCATCCTGCAATGTAACTTCTCCAGACGGAGGAAAAACTACACCAGAAAGAAACCTGGTTCATTTGTCTGAGGATGTATAACAGGACACCAAAAACACCACGGGGCATCAGAGGACTTCCATGTGAAAACTGTGTGCATTTGCCAAGCAGGCCTAATTACTGCAATTTTTGTGACTTTCCTTAAAATGCATCCATCCGATGACAACCGGCTCCGAGCCGGGCAGCAAGAGGGCCCCAGGCGCATGGCTCTGTCCTCAGAACACCCACAAGACACACCGGGACTGGACAGGAGGGGCAGCAACTCGGAGAAACACAGCTACGGGGCGAAAACAAGCAGACACGGCACCAGAGGCCGGTGACGTTAGAGGGGCGCCTGGACAGAGCCACCCTCGGCCAAAGCGCACACACAGAACAATGGCGCTAACACACTGACAAGTGAGCAAACCACAAAGGCACACAGCAGCCTGAGAAAGCGGCCAGCGTGCGGCCCCCGCCTCCAGGGGCACTGCCTCCTCACTGGCTGTGCAGAGGGGCGGGCCTTTCTGTCCCCCTGGCACCCACCCCATCTACCCAAGACCGGGGGAAGCAGAGAAAATCCTCGGGGGAGGCACAGCACAGGAGCAAGCAGAGCCCTGCACCCGGGCCTGGGTCCCAGGGGCTCCTGGCTCCTCTCCCTGAGCTTCCCCACGATGGGAGGAACACCCGCCCTCCTCCCGGAGGAGGGCCCGGAGACAGGAAAGACTCGTCCTGCTCCCAGCACAGCAGGCCCGGGGCAGAATTCAAGGCACAGAAAAGAAAGCAGTCTGCCAGACAAAGAAAGGCCAGCCACCGTGACAGCCCCTAAACTCATAAAAATAGCAGAGCTGAATTAAGGAGTCCTGATTCAGGTGCCGGGCACTTTCTGGGGAACGAATGGTTGCCTGGAAGGAGCTGACGGCCTGAGGCCAAGCCACAGGCCAGACGCCCGAGCAGCCAGCCCCTAGGCCCCAGGAAGGGCCGAGCTCCTGCTCTCAGACGGAGGCGGTGGGGGGAGGCCAGACTGGCGGTCACGCGATGCCACTGTCACAGCTCCCATGGCGTGGCAGGTGCTGCGGGCAGGGGCGTTGTTGGCCTGTGGGAGTCCCACATGCACAGCAAGTCCCTAGGACACACACATGCACACACACAAGCAGAGCACACGCTTTATAATTAAAGGACATGTTTATGCCAGGGGAGGAGGCGGAGAGGGGAGTAGATGTTTCTTCCAGCAGGGTCGCCTTGGAAACCAGGTGACTGCTGAAGGCGACTCCCTCTGTTTGGGAATGGGACCAACAGCACCTGCTCTTTCCAGAATGCAGGTGTGGGAACCCCAACCTCGAGAAGGGCCTCACCTGCCTGGGTACCTTTTGGGCCCTCAGTCCTCTGGGGGCTCCCGGGCCAGGACCCACTGTCACTGTGGTTCTCTTTATCTCTTGTGGCATTGCAGATGGGGACAAATGACACTGCAGATGGGGACATACGACACTGCAGATGGGGGCACACACATGACACTGCAAATGGTGACACACAGATGACACTGCAGATGGGGACACACACGACACTGCAAACAGGACACACACATGACACGTGGATGGGGACACACAACAAACACCGTGGACGGGGACAGGACACAGGAGGAATTGACAAAGAAGCCCAGGGCTCTGAGAGGGGATGGGATGGGGCAAGGAGGCGGGACGTTAGTGAGATGGTCTTCGTCACCTTAAGGCGCACTTGGCAGTCATCTTTTAAGAACACTGTTGGAAAGCAGAGGGACACTACAACTGTCCTCTTGGAGACGCAGGACCCACCAGTGCTGTGCTCAGCCCTTCCCCAGGGCCCCTCTCTTGGGCGCAGGCATCACCCGAGATGTGCCTGTCACATGTGGGAGGAAGCACGTGCGTCACGTGTGGAAGCGTGTCACGCACACGTGCAGGGACCCAGCCACATCGCATGTGAGACTGTGTGTCGTGTATGAGGGGAAACACGCGTGTCCCGCGTGCAAAGGGACAGGGATGCCACGTGTGGTTCCAGCACACGTGTCCCCACACAGTCCAGCCCGCCTGCTCCTCTCAGCCTCCCCTCACCCCAGCTTCCTCCCAGGGAAGGTGCCAAAGTTCCCTGAAAACACAAGGCCCCCACTCCCTGCAAGTGACAAGCTCACCAGAGCCTGCGGCCTTGCTCGGGCGGCCGTGCCTCTCCATGATGCGGGCTCCGGAGCCCCCGGCAGGAGATGGGCGCCCCCTCCCGCCCCCGCCCCCGCCCCCTGCAACCACCTCTCTCCTAAGTGTCACTGCAGTTACCGCCCCCTGGGTCCCCGTGTCATCGGAAGCTCAGCTCGAGCGCGAATGTGCCTCTGTGTGCCCCGCACAGGACAGTGGCAGGACTCGGAGCCCGGTCACTGCGCTAAGCAAATCATGCTGAGGGAATGAAAGAATGGATGAATGGAAGGACGCAGGTCCCGGCCACACCCGCACCTTCCCCGGAAACCAGCACGACGCCAGCATCTCCCGTCCCCTGCACCGGGACTCACAGACAAAAGACACTGCAGCTCAAGTGTGGAGACGGGAAGTTAGAAGCCTCGTCCTCCCCCCTTTAATTCAGCCGTGGCCAGCAGACGTCCCCAGAGCCGGAGGCTGCAGGCAGGCCTGAGCGCGCAGTGGGAGAGCAGCGGGGCGACAGGGCACGCAGCAGGCCCGCGGGAGCACTCGGGGCCGCTGCGCGGCGGAGGACAAGGGAAAGGCTTCCAAACAGCTGCGAATCTGTCCCTGTTAAAGTCAACTACTCCGCTCTCCCAGACCTTACCACTGGGCAGTCACGTTGCTAAGACCAGGTATGAAGGAGGGCCAAAGCCTCTAACTTACAATGGAAACGTCCCTCTCCCCAGGTCCGAGGTCCAAGGTCCGAGGACTGTGTCCTAGAAGTCAGGACTGTTCGCAGAAACGACGCCCGCTCCACGGCACGCGGAGTCGTGAACAACGCCTGTCGGAGGAGGCCGATCTCACCCCTCGGACAATCACGGCTCACATGGCAGGGCCACAACCCAGGAGCCCCTGAAGCCTGGGCCCAGCCCAGGCTGATCTCACGCTACAAAGGATTTCAGGAAGAGCAGAGCACTTCCCACCATGTGGGGCTGATCCTCTCTCAGTGTCAGAGCCATGCAGGAGATAGTTTTGGCTGAGAAAACCAGGTACAGAGTCCCTTATTAATTAATGCCTTACATCGCCTCATCTTGGTTTTAATCCATGAGTTTCTCTGAGCTTTTAATATTTTCTAGGAAAATCTTATAAGCATCCCTTATTAAGTAATAACAATATTTCTTCCTTATTCTCAAGAATGTTCTACCAAATTATGTTCTACCAAAAAGGGCAATGGTGCAGCCTCGGAATTGAGAGGAACTGAAAAGGAAGTGGATGAGAAAGAGGCACTCAGAGGCCTGGGGACAGAGCCAGGTGGGCGAGTAACACCTGCCCCCTCACAAGCTCCGCCTGGTCCACCCCTGAACAAAAGCTCTGGGCTGACTGACACCCGCCCACCTGCTCAGCGGGCAGTGGGCTGCGCCAGAGAAAGGAGCTGGGCCTCCAGCACCAACCAGCTCCCTGTCCATCATCTGGCGAGTCTTCCTCCCCCTCCTCTCAGGCAGCGTCCCCCAGACTCATAGAGCCTCCCTGGGTCTCCTCTTTCCCTGTGAGACAGCCGCTCATTCCCATCTGACGTTTTCCAGGAGAAAAATGACAACACATCCATCCACGTTCAGAAAACTGGGAATCACAAAGAAAGGACTTCTATCACAAACACCCGCATCCCCTGAAGACGACCACAGCTCGAACCTTTTGACCTGTTTCTTCCCAGTCTTTATTCTACGCAGAGATTCAATTCTGTACTTTATCTGCTGCTTTAGTGGAGGTATGATTGACACCACGCGGTGTTAGTTTCAGGCGCACAATGCAATGAGTCGCTATTTGTACACACTGCAGTATAATCCACTCTTTTCTCAGCGATGACACAGCACATGCGGTCTTCACATCTCACTGAGTCAGCTAAGAATTTTCAGGCTGGGACGCTTGTGAGTGACCAGGTTCAACCAGGCTGGACCATATGAGTCTGCCATTATAAATGGGAATTTCATATCATCCAAATGTTTGCACAATGTGATTGCTTCTAATTTTTTCGCCATCACACGTACCATTACAATAATATGCCTTGTATAGAAAGCTTTTTCTATGTTTTGGGTATAAAAACTGCAGGTTAAATAATTTGAGCACTTATTTGTGAAGCTTTAGGTATACATATCATCAAATTAGTTGTCAAAAAGGCAATGCTAATACACACCCCCTCATCAGCTCGGGAGAGTGAGGACGTCACCACGCCCTCCCCGGCACCGAGTATTCTCAGGCAGCGGGTTTACTGCCATTTCCGCCCAAGCGGCCGTGGTAACTGGCTGGGGGCCTACACCACGTGACATGGCCTCCTGTGCATTTCCCAGGATCAAAGGCAGGTGCGCCTTCACAGCACCCCCAGCACCGGTACACGGCTCCACCTGTCTGTCAGCCAGGAGGAAAATGAAGGCCAGCGAGGTTAATCCATTCACACAAGGTCGCACATCTGTGTCCAGCCATGGCCTGAACCTCAATCGTGTGGGTACCTAACATCCGTTCCACTGTGGTGGTCGGATCAGCACACGGGCCACACTGGTACTCTCTGTGGATGACCAGCAGTGACAGCTTGCAGTGTGCTACGCTGAGGTGGGCCATGGCCTCACGCAGGCCCAGCTAGAGAGAGTGCTGTGAGCAACCAAAGCGGCCACCCCCTGGCCGGGGTCGAAGGGGTGATGCTGACCACGCAGCCCAATTGCTCTCCAGTCACTTGCACAGTAAATCCTACGTAACCACAAACCCGCAGCAGTAATGTCACACGGAGTAAGATTAAACTATTTAATTTAATCGTTACGTACAGTTGGATATGTAAATCCCAGTGAAAGTTTTACTTCGCGTGTGTGGCATTAATTTTCCCAAACGTTGCTTGAAAAATCAAGAACAAAATGGTTATAAAACTAAGAACAGGCTTAGTGCTGAACATGTACACATTTGTCAGAAATAGTTACCTGATTATCATATTTTAGAGACTGCGTCCCAACCAAAAACCGGATGGCATCTGTCTCTGCAGTTTGAGGTGTCAGAGCACGTGCCTGCGGGGGGAAGGAAAAGGCACATACATGTATGAAGTCAGATTTAACAGACAGACTGAAAAGGCACTCCCCTCCTCTGCTG